CCCTAAACCCTAAACCCTGGCCAGAAGCCCCAGAAGCCCCGAAGCGCCGGAGTTTTGCCGAGGTGGCCCAGGCGGTCTGGCTCTGAGCCCAAGCCCCTTTTTGGGGGGGCTTTGGCTGCTCCGTAGGTCCTTTAGGGTTTAGTGTTTAAGGTTTAGGGTTCAGGGTTTGAGGTTTAGGGTTTAAGGTTTGGGGTTTAGGGTTCAGGGTTTGAGGTTTAGGGTTTAAGGTTTGGGGTTTAGGGTTTAGGTCGTACCTTCCCGGCCCATCCTCGAAGAGGAGGCGCTGAAGCTCAGGGCCCATGATCGTGTTGCGAAGGTGTGAGTTGAGCACTGGCAGGGGTTTCAGTGATCCCGCGTTTATTAGTGCAGACTCCGTGGCAACCTTCGGCGCGAAACGGAATCGATCTGTGCGACTTGGTCTTGCGATGTCTTGCGGGCCCTTCCAGGTAGTTCTCGGAACTGGGGTCTTCTTTCCGAATCTTCAAACGAGTACGTCACTCTCAAAACAGGGATCCCCGAAGGTGCCCTGATGTAGAGAGCCCTCCATCCCAGGTTACTGGAAAGCGCTTCTTCGCCAAAGGCGTGGCCTACAACCCGCGGAATGCCGCATGCCAGCATCCAGATGCGCTGAGACCAGAAGAGTGCCATGCGACGAATATCCGAAAACCTGGACCCCAAAGCCCTAAACCGCCCAAGCTCAGAACCCTAAGCCGCAACAGCCAAAACTCCCAATCCAGTTCTCCCCGCACCCACAGCTTCTGTTTAGGAGCGGTATGACCACTCCTTTGGGAACAACGTGCAGGAATGGCCCGGTAATTGAGGGGGAATTTCCGCTGCCTTTTTTCTTCATCCAAAGGGTTTATGTCACCTCTAAACGGGTTTGGGGCTTATAGGTTCAGGGTTTTGAGAGTTTTCGGGGTCTAGGGTTGCAGTGTTTCTTTTGGCCGGGTGGGGGGGGGTCTGGGTGAGCGGCTTTCAGCGGCTTTTGTCACAGGACTGCCGACGATTTGTAGGCATTCAATTCAAGATGTAGAAGGACTCGGATACTGCTAAAGTATACATGGTTTGATTGTCAGAAGGGAAAGAGCCGTAAGAGTATGCAGAGTACGCAAAGTAGGACTTGAACTATCGGTATCACTAGTTCTCAGTATGGGCAAGAAAGACAATAACACCAAGTAGCAAACATGGTCATAATGGCAGTGTTTATCAGTAAATGCTGTATTTACAAGTACTCATACTTACTCGAAATATCTCCGGTTTATCATATCCTATAGTATACTATAGACTATTCATAGGTTATATGACATTGCATTCGAGCACAGTATATAATGGACGGTTTTGGGAATGATAGACTTGTTACTATCGAACTCGAAGCTCAAGAGCCTCAGAACAAACACTCTAGCCCCCCACCCGAATCCTAAGCTCCTAGGCCCTTAAACCCTAAACCCTAAGCCCCAAACCCTAAACCCTAAACCCTACACCCTACACCCCCCTAAAATTCTGACGCTGAAACGCAAAGCTCTTCCCTGGGTGCGGTCAGGTCGAGGGCTGGGAGGCCGCTTGGACAAGCTGGCAAAGGCTTTTACAAATACCTATAATACATCATACATGCGTAATATAATTAGTATACAAATAAAAATATATTGAAACGAATATGTGTACATATATATATATATATATATATATTTATATATATATATATAAATAAATCTATCTGTTATGTGCATGTATTTGCGGGCGTGTGCATATACACATATATATACACACGTATACATACAGATTTGTATGTATATGTATCTGTATGTGTATATGTATATGTACATGTACATCTATGTGTGCATGTTCACGTATATGTATAGCATGTATGTGTATACATACATACATGCATACATACATGCTTGTGAAAACTATTCACATGTGCATATACGTACGTGTGTGTGTGTGTGTGTGTGTGCTTTTCTACACACACACACACACACGAGAACCAGAAGGCTGTCTATCCACGTATGCATATGTATATATATATATATACACACACACAGTTGTATCTAACGGTGTATACTTTTATATACAAAGAAATAGGGAACGGGGCTAAACCCTCAGCTACCGGAGGCCGAAACCCCCAAATCTAAAGCCAACCACTTGGGCCTACGCCTTGCGCCGTAAGCACTTCAGAGCTACTTCCCCTTAAACTCAACCCTAGGCCCACGAGCTGAAAACGCCGAGGATCACTGCGTCCCGGGACATCCCAAGGGAGGTGAGTGGACCTACACCGAGGACCTCCATCAAACACAGGGTTCGGGGGTCCAGGGTGTCTAGGGCTTTGTGTGGATTTAGCAGGGCTGTTGTGGGTTCTGCCTGTTTGCACCTGCTTCTTGCTGGATTTGAGCTTTGAGGTTGTCACTTTTTGCATCTCTTGGCTTGTTGTTTTGTTGGGGCCACTGTTGTCTATTGTTGCAAGAGAAGTAGTCATATAACACTCTCAACCTCTTAGAGTCAAATTCTTCGTTTTCTTATTGGAACCTTTACTTTCATGGTTGTATTTCGTTGTTGATCATGTACTGGCCGTCCGTGTTAACCAGAGTAGCTGCTTCCTTTCTTACTTTGTCGTGTCGTCACTCCTCGATACTGTTGCAAGCTTCATTCAGATTTATATGGCCTATAACCCTAGGCCCTGAACCCTAAACCCAGCTGGCAACAAAATCCCAGCTGGCAGGATGTGATTTCTGACGAGCACGAGGATATGTGGAGTGTCCTGGCAGGTCGTCAGTTCTGGCGGATTTGAAGAGAGTGCTTCAACGGCTTGCTATGTGTCTGGGGCTGCTCTTGGCCCGTTCGTTCCCGACATCCTCTGTGTGTTTACTGGCGTCAGTATACCAACGTCCCGGACTCCTACGTCTACCTCCTTGAGGCAATGTTTCGAAACCTAAACCCTAAACCCTAAACCCTAAACCCCTAGGCCCCAGACCCCTGAACCCCTAAGCCCCGAAACCCTACCCCAAACCCTAAAAGCCACATGCCACCCCGAAACCCCCAAACCCTGTCCCCGAAACGAGCACTCTGCGCCTCCCAGGCAGCAGACTCTAAACCCTAAACCCCACAGCCTAAACCCTAAGTAACTCCCCAAGCCCTAAACTCTTAAGGTTAAACCCTACAGCCCAAGCCCTGAAGCCTAAACCTTAAAACACTAAACCCTAAGTACGTCCCGAAGTCCTAAACCCTAAACCGTAAAGCCTACCCTAAAGCCTGAACCTTAAGCCCTAAACCCCAAGTAGCTCCCTCAACCCTCGACCGTAAAGCCTAAACCCGAAAGCCTGAACCTTAAGGCCTAAACCCAAAGTAACTTTCCAAACCCTAGAGTGTAAAGCCTAACCCTAAAGCCTTGTCCTTAAACCCTAGACCTTAAGTAACTCCCTAGACCCTTAAAGCCTAAAACTCTGAAGCCTTAATCTTAAACCCTAAACCTGAAGTAACTCCCTAGACCCCTAAAGCCTAAAACCCTAAACCTGAAGTAACTCCCTAGACCCCTAAAGCCTAAAACCCTGAAGCCTAGCCAAACCCTGACCCCAAGGCGAGGACCTCGATGCCATTGCGAACCTTGGTGGGCACCTCAGTGACGGGAATGCTTGCACGTCCAAGTGCGGGCTGCGAAGAAGAAGAGCATGGCAGTTGTAGGGTTTAGGGCTTGAGAGTCTAGGGTTAGGGCTTGGGATTTACATGGTTTTAGCGTTGAGGGCTTCGGGGTTTAGGATCGAGGTAGGAAGCACCAGTGGTGTTTGGTGAAGGCAAAGTTTCAATGTAGTGCGGGCTATGTCGCTGAGACAGGTGCCAACACTGTGCGGCTTTACAATGTCGACCCCAAGAATAACCACACCAAGTTCATGGAGAAGGCTGCAAATAGTTCAGTCCGGCTCGTCAGTGTTTATTGACGTCATTCTACCGCTTTGAGGCGGCTGCGCTGGGAATCTACGATGCTCGGTCGGCATTGTGACGGATTGTAGCTATCGCGGCGTCAAAAATTCATACACCGGTTGATGTAAATATAGCAGAAGCCAGAAAATTTGAACTTCACTATCCTCATGCCCTTAAGTTAAAGTAATGGGGAACCTAGCACTAATCCTCCTTAACCCATGCTCCAACTTTCTGGGATTCGCTGTGACTATCGCATCGATCCGGTGATGGTTGGTTGGTGATGATGACAGCGAGGACGAAGAGGCCGTAGTGATGATAGCAACAATTTGAGGACAGTGGCGATGATCATGACGATAGTGATGGTGCTTGTGGCTGATAACATTGCTGACGAAGGTTCTGAAGATTGTGCTGCTGGCGTTGAAAGTCTTGATTACTAATGTCCTGGTCTTTGTGCAGGAGCAGTATCCGTATAATAATAATAATAAGTAGTAGTAGTAGTAGTAGTAGTAGTAGTAGTAGGAGTAGCAGTGGCAGTAGCAGTAGCAGTAGCGGTAGCGGTAGTGGTAGCGGTAGTAAAAGTAGTGGTAGTAGTAGTAGTAGTAGTAGTAGTAGTAG